TTGAGAACAATCAAAAGATGTATTGGATACATGATTTTCTTCTGGACTATGAAGTTTGACAAATTATGGATGAAATAATATTGAAAAAAAAGAATTTAAAAAAATGTTACCTATTGATTATTTAGTAACAAGTTATGACATAATTTTCTTTTGAGTAGCTAGAATGTTATTTTTACACAATAATTTTAAAAATGAAATTCCATTCAAAAAAATATTAATACATGGATTAGTTAGAACATCAAGAGGTGAAAAAATGTCAAAATCAAAAGGAAATGTTGTAAATCCATTAGAATTAATTGAAAATTATGGAAGCGATGCATTAAGACTTTATTTAATAGGACAATATAAAATTGGAGAAGATTTAAAATATTCAAAAGAAAAATTAGTTTATTCTTCACAAATTTTAAATAAATTATGAAATATCAATAATTTTATTTCAAAAGATGAATTAAAATTAAAAAATAATTTTAACCCAGAAAAAAATAAAGAAGAACAAAACATTTGAATACATAAAGAATTTATTAAAATTTATAAAAATATAACAAAAAATTTTAATAATAATTTATTTTCATTAATCATTAAAGATTTTGTAGATTTTGTATATAAAAAATTTAGTAACAACTATTTAAGAATTGTATGAGCTTTAAGTATTGATTCACAAGAAAAAACAGTTGAAACAACTTTAACTATGAAATGAATTTGAAAAAATTTATTGATATTAATTCATCCATTTATTCCATTTTTAAGTGAAAAATTATATAAAGAATCATTTGATAATTCTATTAAAAATGAAAAATTAGAAATAAATACAATTTTTAAAGTAAAAGAAACAAAATTAATTGATTCTTTAAATGAAATAATTGAAACTTGTAGAAAAGAGCAAAAAGAAACTAATGAAGAACATTTTAGAGTTATTATTTATTCATCAAAAGATAAAGAATGAAAAAATAATTTTAAAATATTAAATCAAATGTTATTACCATTTAAAATAAAAATAGATAAAATATATTTTTCACAAAATCAAGAAAAAATTGTTGCTAAACCTTCTAGTTTTTCAAACAAAAAAAAAGTAATAAAAAAAGATTATAAAAAAGAAAAAGAATTTTTATTAAATGAAATTAAAAGAGCTAAAAATATTTTAAGTAATAAAAATTTTTTAAAAAAAGCAAATCCAAAAATAGTTTTAAAAGAACAAGAAAAATTAAAATATTATAATAATAAACTAAAAAATTTAAAATAAATTTTCTTTTTCTTTTAATTTATTTAATTAAATAAATTATGAATAAAATAGTTAATTATAAAGAATTAATGAATAAATATTTTTTTTATTTAAAAAGAAATAATTATTCAAATAACACAATTAAAACTTATAAGTCAGTTTTAAAAGCATATTTTAATCAATTAGATAATATTGGTTTAATTAAAAATAAATTAAAAGAAAAATTTAATAGTCCAAATACTGTTTGGGTTCATTATAGTGTTTTAAGTTCATTTTTAAAGTGAACAAAAGACAAAAGAATAAATTCATTAAATAATTTAAAATTACCACATATTCCAAAAAAATATATGTTAACTTTTAATAAAAAATTTTTATTAAAAAAAACACAAATTTTTGAAAATGATTCAAAATTATTACAAAATAAAAAAATAATAATAAAATTTTTATTCGAAACTGGAATAAGAGCAAATGAATTAAAAAATATAATTTCAATAGGAAAAGATACTTTAAAAATTATTGGTAAAGGTAACAAAATAAGAGAAGTTTTTTGTACTGAAAAAACTTTAAATAAATTTAAACAAATAAAATTTTTTCAAACAACAAAAACATTAAGATTATGGGTTAAAGAAATTTTAGGTGAAAAATTTACACCACATAGTATAAGAAGATCACATGCAACACATTTATTATTAAATGGTGCTGCGCCTAAAATGGTTATGTTACAATTAGGACATGAAAAAATCGAAACAACATTTAGATATTTACAACTTTCATATGAAACAAATAAAAAAATATATAAAAAATATTTTTAAAATATAATTTTTTATTTTTTAATTACATTTCTTTAACAGGTTCTATACCTATTAAATTAAATGCATTTTTCATAACTTGTAAAAATACTTTTACTAAATTTATTCTTTCTTTTAATAAATTTTCATCAACACCAATAATTCTATTGTTTTGATAAAAAGTATGAAATTTTTTACTTAATTGTATTAAAAATTCTACTATTAATTGTGGTTCTTGTTTTTTTGCAGACATTTCAACAGTTTTTTTAAATTGATAAAAACTTAAAATTAAATCTTTTTCTGAATCAGAAATTAAATTTAAATAATCTTTACAAAAATAATTTTTATCTAATTTTTTAACTAATTGATATGCTCTAGCATATGCGTATTGAACATAATAAAGTGGATTTTTAATATTTTTTTCTTTTAATAATGAAAAATCTATTTTAAAATCAGTTGTTCTTTTTCTTGAAATAATCATAAAACGTATAAAGTTAATACCATATTCTTTTACTATATCTCTTAAAAATATTGTGTTTCCTGCTCTTTTTGATAATTTTAGAAATTTTCCTTTTGAATCAATTAATCTTACCATTTGAATGAAATTAACATCAAATTTTGTTTCATCTCATCCTAAAGCTTTAATACCTGATTTTACTCTTATAAAATGTCCATGATGATCAGAACCTCAAAGATTTATCATTAAATCATATCCACGTCTATATTTATTATCATGATACATAATATCACCAGAAAAATATGTAGTTGAACCATCTGATTTTTGAAGTACAAAATCATCAGGAGAACCATATTTTTTGGCATTTAATCATATAGCACCATCTTTTTTATAACTAATTTTTTTATCTTCAAATTTCTTTTTAAATAATTCAAATTGATTATTTTCATAAAGACTTTCTTCAGAAAATCAAATATCAAAATGAATACCAAAAATTTCACAATCTTTTTTCATTTCATATAAAAAAAAGTTCTTTACATGTCTAGAAAATTCAATTTCTTTATCTTTTAAATTATTTTTTAAAAATTTTAAATCTTTATATAAATTTGAATATTTTTTATAAATATAATTTGCTGCATCTTTAACTTCTGGATTTTTATACATTCCATCAAAAGAATTAAAATTTTGTTTTATTAATTTTGAATAATGAAAATATACACTCATTGCAGATTTATAAACTTGTAATCCAGCATCATTTATATAAAATTCACGATAAACTTTATAACCTGCAAATTCTAAAATTTTGGTAATACAATCACCAACAATAACATTTCTTGCATGTCCAATATGTAAGTAACCAGTAGGATTTGCTGAAACCCATTCATAATTAACTTTTTTATTTTTTCCAATATCAGAAGATCCAAAATTATTTGAATTTTCTAAAATTATATTTATTACATTATTTAAATATTTTAATTCATGAAAAAAATTTAAATAACCATTTAAAACATTTATTTTTTTAAAATGATATTTCTTTTTATCTATACAATTAATTATTTTTTTAGTAACTAAATCTAAATCTAAATTATATTTATTAGAAATTATTAATGCAACATTTGTAAATAATTCACCATATTCTTTTTTTTGTACCTTTTGTATAAAAAATGGTATATCTTTTGGATTTCAATTATTAATTTTTAAAGATTCAAGAATTGCATCTCTTAAATTTTGATAAATCATGATAAATAAATTAATTTTTAACAATTATTACAAATAATTGTTCCATATTTACCTTCTAAAATTTTTTCAACATTTTCTAATGATGTAATAATTGCTTGACAACATGGATTTTTTTCAACAAAACTAATAGCAGCTTCAACTTTTGGTTTCATTGATCCTTCAGCAAATTGTTTTTCTTCAATATATTTTTTCATTTCTTCTACTGTTGTTAGTTTTAATGATTTTTGATTTGGTTTTCCTCAATTAATAGAAACATGATCAACTGCAGTTAAAATAATAAATTTATTTGCATTAACAACTGATGCTAATGTGGCTGCTGTTCTATCTTTATCAATAACTGCTGCAACAGCTTCTAAATTATTATTTTTACAAATTACAGGAATTCCACCTCCACCACCAGCAATTATAATTTTATTTTTTTCTAATAAATCTTTAACAATATCTTTTTCAACAATATCTTTTGGTAGAGGAGATGCAACATATCTTCTTCAACCACGACCTGCATCTTCTTTTACAATTCAACCTTTTTTTGCAGCTAATTCTTTTGCATCTTTTTCAGAATAAAAAGATCCAATTGGTTTTGATGGATTAAGAAAAGCTTTGTCATTTTCATCAACCTTTGTTTGTGAAATAATTGTAACTACACCTCTATTTATTTTTTGTTTTTTTAATTCATTATAAATTGCATTTTGTAAATGAAAACCAATATAACCTTGACTCATACTTCCAGCTTCTGGTAAAGGAAGTGTTGGAATTTTACCATTTGTTGCTTTATTTGCTTCATCAAATCCAAGATTAATCATACCAACTTGTGGTCCATTACCATGACAAATAACTACTTCATTTCCTTCACCTGCTAATTTTACAATTGCATAAGCAGTTTTTTTTACAATTTCTTTTTGTTCTTCTGGTGAATTTCCTAATGCATTTCCACCTAATGCTACTACAATTTTTTGTTTATTCAAAATTTTATTCCTTCCTATGTTATAAAAATATTATTTAATCAATATTTTTAAATTTTATTTTATTAAATTTTAAAAATGGAGCCCACGGAGGGAATCGAACCCCCGACCCAAAGATTAGAAAACTTTTGCTCTAAACCACTGAGCTACGCAGGCAAATAAATAAATGACCTATAATACTCAAAAAGTAAATCATTTATTTTTTTAATATTGTTGTTTTTTGTTTTATTAATCATTTGTAAAATTTATTTTTTTAACAATAATAAATATATTATATTTTTTTTCAATTTTTTTGGTATTTTTTTTAATAAAAAAAGTATTTTGTTACAAAATGGTGACAAGGACGGGACTCGAACCCGTACTCTTCCGGATATGAGCCGGACGCTTTAACCAGTTAATCTACCTTGCCATTCTTATTAATTTATTATTATATCTAAAATCATTTTTAAGATTTTAATGTATATTTTTTTATAAATATTTTAAATTATCATTTCAAGAAAATTTAACAAAACATTTTCTACATCTTGGTTCATACATACATTTTCCACCAACAAAATCTTTCATTTCTTTTATATTTGGTTTAATTGGATTACCATTTATATCAATTTTTTGAGTTTTATTTGCAATCTTTCCACATCTACCACATCATGCAGTAAATTTAAAAATTTTATCTGCAAAAGAAAACAATTTATTCATTACAGGTAAATTATGATCTGAAAAACCTCTATCTAAACCTGCTAAATAAAAATTTATTCCTTCATCTAATAATTTATCTACAAAATCTACAAAATTAATTGAAAAAAATTGAACTTCATCAATTGCAATAGCATATAAATTATATTTATTTTTTTCATAATAATTTTTAATTTCTTTTCAATTTGAAATACTTATAGCTTTTAATGTATTTTTGTTTCTACTTTCTATTAAATTTTTGTTTTTATTTCTACTACTTATTTTTAATTTAAAGATTAAAATATTTTTATTTTTTAATTTATTTATTTCATTAATTAATGCATCAGTTTTACCTGAAAACATACAACCAGAATAAATTATTAATTTTCCTTGTTTTTTTATCATTTAATTTTTTTTAAAATTATTTAATTACTAATAACTATTTTAAACATTTTTATTATCTTTTAATATTTAATTTATTTAAAATAAATTCTTGTAAATTAAACATTATTTTTTCATCTTGTTTATTTATATGATCAAAATTTAATAAATGTAAAAAACCATGTAAAAATAAAAATGCAAATTCTCTTTCATCTGAATGACAATATTTTTTTGCTTGTTCTTTTGCTTTATCATAACAAATATAAATTTCACCCAATGGATTTTTATATGTAGTATTAAAAATACATTCATTTAAATTAATTGATAAAACATCACTATATTCTTTAAATGGATATATTTTATTATTTATATCTTTCATTGTTTTTTTTGAAACTACATTTAAATATATATAACCTTTTTTATTTATATTTATTTTATTTATTGTTAATAATAATAAATTTTTAATATTTTTTAATAATTTAGAATCAATATATTCTTTATTTTCAAAAATAATAAAACATTTTCAATCTAAGTTATTTAATTTATTTTTTATAATTATTTCTTCTTGAAACATATTTTAATTTTTAAATATATATTTAATTTTTCTTATAAATTTTAAATAATATTTATTTTTAATAATAATATATAAAAAAATAAATATTATTAAAAAAGAAATAATAATTGGTACAAATATTTTTTGTAAAAATGTTTTTTTATATTTTATTTCTTGTTTATCTAATTCTTTATTATTAAATTCATTAATTAAAATTTTTTTTAAATTTTCAATATGTAAATTTCATTTATCAATATCTTGGTAATTGTTTGGTATTTCTAATTTTTCAATAATCTCTTTTTTAAATGTTCCATCAATATTAAAAGTTTTTTCATATTTTGAAATTAAAAAAGATTTTTGATTAAATAATAATTTAATTTTTGATTTTTGATTTTCATATATTTTTTCAAATTCAATTAATTTAATAAATTGTTCTACTTTTTTTTTGAAATTTAAAAAATTTATATTAATTCAATCAATAAATAAAAATAATTTTGTTTCAAATTCACTATTATTTGAAGATTCAATATAAATTCCATCATTATTAAATTTTTCTAATAATTTATCAAAAGAACTATCAAACATTTGTGGAATTAATAAAAATATTTTTTCATATAATGTATATTTATTAAAAACTTTTTTTGTAAAAAAATTATTATATTTTTTAATATCTTTAATTAATTTTCTATTTTCTGATTTTTCAAAAAATTTTTTAATAATATTATTAATAAGTGTATTTATTTTTTCTTTGCTATTTTGTAATTGATTTTGAAATACAGTTCAATTTTTACTTAAATCTAAATTATTATTTTGTAAAATTCCATTTTTATTAAAATTTTTTAATTTTAAAATTACTTCATTATTATTAAAATTAAAAATTTCTGTATTTTGATTAAAATTATTTTTTTTAAGAAATTTAATTAAATATTTTAATTGTTCTGATTCATTATAATAATTAGAATTTGTTCCACTTAATCAATTATTAAAATTATTAAAATTATTATTGTTGTTATTGTTGTTGTTGTTTTCGAAACTTTGTTCTACACTTAAAAAATTTTTTGTATTAAATTTATTTTGAAAAAATAAAAAAAATACAAAAATAAAACAAAATAAAAAAATTGATAAATTTTTTAAAGTTTTTTTATTAAATATTTGATTCATATTTTTGGTGACCTGTAGGAGATTCGAACTCCTGCATGCTAGATTGAGAACCTAGTGTGTTAACCGCTTCACCAACAGGCCATATTAAGATATATTTTATATTAATTAAAATATGTTTTTTTTTATTTTCTTATTAAAAAAAACCAGCAATTACTTTTTTATGATTTCTAAGTTTTTTATATGCCTTTGTTTCTATTTGTCTAACACGTTCTCTTGTTAATCTTAATTTTTTAGATGTTTTATCTAATGTTAATGGTTTAAATTCATATTTACTAATCTCTTTAAACAAAGGGTCTTTTTTATCTAATTTTAAAGTAACATCAACCAATTTATCTGATGATTTAACATTATTTCTTTCTTTTGAAAATCTTAATTTTTTAATTAATCTTGAATTTTCAACAAGTTCTAATAAATCTTTTATTGTAACTGGTGGTTTACCTAATCTAAATCTAATTATTTTTTGTTCTTTAATTGTTAAATATTCTTTTATCATTTCATCAGTTTTTTTACGTAAATGTTCATTATTTACAATTTCATCTGGTGTAATAACATTTTGATTTTCAATAAAATCACCAAATTCGGTATCTTGTTTTGAATTTATTTTTTTTTCTAAACTTTTAGGATGTAATGCATATTTTTGTATTTTTTTTATTTTTTTTATTGATAAATCACCTCCCATAGCTTTTTGTAATTCTTCATCAGTTGGAACTTTTTGTAATTCTTGTGTTAATAATTTTTTAGTTGCAATTAATTTATTAATTGTTTCAATCATATGAACAGGAATACGTACAATTCTTCCTTGATCTGCAATTGATCTTGTTACTGTTTGTCTAATTCATCATGTAGCATATGTTGAAAATTTAAAGCCTCTTTTATAATCGAATTTTTCAATTGCTTTAAGTAAACCAAGTTCTCCTTCTTCTCTTAAATCTTCAAATTTAAGTCCTCTACTTGCATATTTTTTACAAATAGAAACAACTAATTTAAGATTACATCTAATAATAATTTTTTTAACTCTTCTAATTTCAAATTTATTTTTTGAATTATCTAAAATTGAAAAATAATGTTGTTCTTGTTCTAAAGTTAATAAATTAGATTTAGAAATTGATTTTCAATTTATTCTTTTTTTTCAATTTGAACTTTTATCTTTATTAATATTAAAATCTCATTTTTTTGTTTTAAATCATTGTTTAAGTTCTATTTTTTTTCTATTACTTAACATTTTTTTATTAATAAGTTCACTTATTAATAAATTTTTTCAATTAATATTTCAATTACATTTTTTAACTAAAAAATCAATTTCTTTTATTTTGACTTTTTTAATTTTATTATTTTCAATAAATTTAAAAAAACCAAATGGAAAACCATGTTTTTTTAATAAATATTGAAAATTATTAATATTTTCTTCAAATATATTCATAAAAAGTTTAGTAAATATTATTATATATAAAAAAAATAATTATAACATTTAAATTTTAATTTTACTATTATTTTTTTAAAAAAAATATATATTAAAATAAAAATTTTTTTTGTTCATTAGAATTAAAATATTTTAATAAACTAAACATTTTATATTTAATATAAAAAGATTTTAATTTATTTGAAGAAAAATTATACTTTTTATAAGTTAAATTAACATTTAGTTCAATATTTATATTTAAAGTTGCCATTTTTTTTGAAAATAAAGCATTCTTTTTTTCTTTAATTAATAATTCTTTTAATTTACAATCAATATTTTCTAAATTTTTATATATTCCATTAATTGTTTTGTATTTAGAAAGTAAATAAATAGCTTTTTTTGGCCCTATGCCTTTAATTCCTGGTAAATTATCACTTGAATCTCCCATCAGTCCTTTTAATTCTGGAATTTGAAATGGTTCAATAAAATAATATTTATAAAAATTATCAAAAGTAATTTTTTTTATATTTTTCATTCCTTTTTTTGGCATAAGTAAATTAACGTTGTTATTAACTAATTGTAATAAATCTTTATCACTTGAAACAATATCTACTAAATAATTATTTTTACATGATATTTTTGACATTGTACCAATCAAATCATCTGCTTCATAATCATAATCTTCAAAATAATCAATTTCAGCATTTTCTAAAAATTCTTTAAATAATGGTATTTGTTCAATTAAATCTTTAGGTGTTTTTAATCTTTTTGATTTATAATCTTTAAATTCTTTATGTCTTTTTGTTTGTTTACCTTTATCAAAAAAAACAAAAATACGATGATATTTATTATTTTCTCTTAAAAAACTAATCAACATTCTAATCATTGTATAAATTGCATTTGTTGAATTAATACTTGGTTTTTTTAATATACTTATAGATCCATAATATGCTCTATAAAGTAAAGACATACCATCTATTAATAAAATTTTATTTTTGTTTTTTTCATACATTATTAATCATTTAATATTTTACTTATTTAAATCTTTTTTATATAATTAAGTTTTTAAATAAAATAAATTAATCTTCCATTCTACATGTAATATATTCCAATGTTAATTTTTCTTTTGGTTGAGTAAAAATATGACGTGTTTTACCAAATTCAATAATTTTTCCAAGATTCATAAATACTAAATAATCTGAAATTTTTGAAGCTTGTGTTAATGAATGAGTTACTAAAATAATTGTATATTTTCTTTTTAATTCAAAAATTAAATTTTCAATTTTTGTTCTTGAAATAGGATCTAAAGCACTTGTTGGTTCATCCATTAAAATTACATTTGGTTCATTTACAATACATCTTGCAATACATAATCTTTGTTTTTGACCACCAGATAATGAATCAGCTGGATCATTTAACCTATCCTTTACTTCTTCTCAAAGATTTACATCTTTTAAAGAATTAATAACTTTATTTTTAATTTCTACTTCAGATAATTTAGAATTAATTTTTAAAGTAAACGCAATATTTTCAAAAATACTCATTTTAAATGGTGTTGGTTTTTGAAAAACAATACCTACCTCCATTCTTAATTTTTGAATATCAATTGATTTATCAAAAATTGATTTATTTTTTAATAATATTAAACCTTCATGTTTACAATTTGATTGTAATTCATTTAACCTATTAATTGAACGTAATAAAGTTGATTTACCGCAACCACTAGTTCCTATAATAGCAGTAATTTTATTTGTAAATATTTTTAAATTAATATTTTTTAATACTTTATCTTTTAAATTATTTTTTAAATAATAAAAATTAAAATTTTTAAATTCAATTATTATTTCTTTTTCTTTTAATTTTAAGTTTTCTGTGTTTTCTTTCATGTTATTTTTATATTTTAATTTTTTTTAATTTATTTATCATTAAATTTAAAAAAATTATAACAACTAAAATAATTAAAGCTGTTTGATATATTACATATTGTGTGTTCTCAGAATCCAATGGAGATTCAGAACTCATTAATCAAATATGTGTTGCTAATGTTCTAGTATCTGAAAACATACCTTTATTAGGCACAAAAGTACTATTACCTAAAACAATTAATAATGGAGCAGATTCTGCAATTATTCTATTTATTCCTAAAATTAATGAAATTAATATCCCTTTTAATGCCATAGGAACTATAATTTTTCAAATAACAACTCTTTCTGATAAACCTAAAGCATATGCAGAATATCTATATGTTTTTGGAATACTTTCTAAATTTTGAATAATTGTTTGAATCATAATTGGCAAAATAATTAAAATCATAGTTAAACCACCTGAAATTAGTGTAAAACCTAAATTAAAATATGTTACAAGTAAAATAAAACCAAACATACCAAATAAAATACCTGGTGTAGATGCTAATTGAATAATAATAAATTTAATAATTTTAGATATTTTTCTTAATTTTTTAGAATTATATGAATATTCAGTAATAAAAATAGATGTAAACAAAGCAATAGGAAACGCAAAAATTAATGTAACTGAAATCAAAATAAATGTACTTAATAAAATACCTAAAATACCATCTTCACCACTAATTAATGATGAACTTTTAAATTCGTATAATACAAAACCTTCTATTCCATATCAAAAAATTGAACCAAATAATCATACAAAAATTGAAAAAATTATAATTGAAAACAAATACATATTAAACTTTCTATATAAAATTAAAAATTTATTTCAATAATATCTAATTATTGGTAATTTATAATTTTTAAATTTTTTTAATAAATTAAAATTTAAAAAATTTATATTAATTTTATTTAATAATTTTTCTTTTTTTTCAAATTCTTTATTTAAAAATGCAAAAATTAAATTAGAAATTAATACAATTAAAAATAATAAAAATGAAACTAAAAACAATGATGATTCATGTAATTTATTGAAATTTTCTTTAAACTCTAAACTAATAATAGTTGTTAAAGTTCTAATTGATGAAAAGAAAAAACCAGAAAAACCATTTTTAAATGAAATAAGTTTTGCACCACCACCTGAAACCATTGTTAATGCACTTGTTTCTGCTAAAATTCTACAAAATGCAAAAAATATAATAATTCTAATTGATTTTAAACAAATTTTTTTAACAATATTAAACATAACAACTGTTTTATCATTTCCTAATGCTAAACCAGATAATTCGTTGTTTTTTGAAACATTATCTAATAAATTAACTGTCAATGTCAATGTTATTGGTAATGCAATTATTGTTAAAACAATAATTGCAGATAACATTGAAGTTTCATCACCTCCTGGTATTAATTTTAATATTGGCCCAACTGAAAATAGTACAAAAATACCAAATAAAACTGATGGAATACCAGAAAGAACTCTTAATAAAAAAATAACAATTTTCTTTATTTTTTTATTTAAAAATTTTGAAATAAAAATAGAAACAAATAAATTAATTTTAATTATTAAAATTATTGAAAAAAATAAAGTTCAAAAAGTAGAAACTATAAAATTACCAATATAAAATTGATCATCACTTGGTTTTCATTTGCCACTTGTTAAAAATTCAAATGTTTTTAATCCATGTTTATTTATAAAATAAATTGATTTATAAAAAATAAAAACAACTAAAGATATTGAAAGTAATATAAAAATAAATGTAAATAAAAAAGAAAAATTCTTTTTTATATCTAAATTATTTTTTAACAAAAATTTATTCATTTAATTCCTTTCAATTAAAATAAAAACCTAAATTATTTATTCAATTTTTAGTTTTTGTTTTTAAAAAATTTAGAAAATATAAAATTTTTTTTTCATTTTCTTTAAGATAAATAGCAATAAATGGTCTTTTAAATTCATAATTTTTTTGAATATATTTTGTATTATTTAATTTTGCAATAAAAATTTTAGAATTTTTATTAATTTTGTTTTTTTCATTTAATATTTTTGATTTACTAATATAACCAATTGATCCATTTGTACGAAGTATGTATTTTAATATATTTGTTCCTGATTTAAAAACTTTAACATCAACATAGTCTTTAGTTTTTAATATTTTTTCTTCAAAACTAGAACGTGTTCCAGAACCCTCTTCTCTATTTATTGGTTTGATTTTAATATTTTTAATTTCACATTTAACATTATCTAATTGATCTCAAACCATTTTTCCATTATAAATTTTTACTATATCTTTTCTATTTAAATTCAATTCATCACCATTTTTTAAAGAACATGTTTTTGGCAAATTAACAAGAAAAACAATAATATCATCTAAAATTTTTATTTTTTTAATATCTTTAGAATTAAATTCTGTATCTTCAAATATATTATCTAATTCTTTATTAGAGTAAAACTTACTTGTAAAACCAATATCAAATCTTTTATTTACAACTCCTCAAGTTGCAGCTGAAGAACCAGAACTAATATATCTAAAATTTTGAATATTTTCAAAATCTTTTTTATTTATTTTTTTTTCTTCTTTTATTTTTTTAGAAATATTTGTCATTAATGGAAAAACAGATGAAGAACCTCCAAATGTTAATTTTTGATCTTTAATTAATAAAAAACTAAAAAAAACTCAAATCATAAATAATAAAAATAACAACAAAAATAATGTAATAAATATTTTTTTTCAATTTTTAAAAAATTTATTATTTTTCATTTCTTATTTTATTTAATTGTTCTAACATCAATTTTGCTGCTTCTTTTTCGGCAATTTTTTTATTACTATTTGATGCTTTTGTTACAAAATTTTTATATTTACAAGTAATATAAAAATATTTATTTTTTTCAATAGATGTATATAAATTTTTACTTATTTTTTTATCTTTATTTTGAATATATTCTTGTAATATTGTTTTATAATCTTTGTTTAAAAATGATTTTTTTCAATTAGGTTTTATTAAATTTTTAATAATAAAATCTTGAGTATATTTTAAATCATTAGTATCTAAAAAAATAGCTGCTACAAAAGATTCAAAAATATCTGCTAATATTTTTGATTTTTCTTTTACTAAATCAATATCTTTTAAACTTTTACCTAATCTTATATAATTTAAAATACCTAATTTTTTAACAACATTTGAAAAAACATCATTACTTATTAAAAAATTTTTGATAACTGATAATTTACCAACTAAATCAATTGAATTTTTATATACATATTCAGTGACTGTAAAATTTATAATACTATCACCTAAAAATTCTAAATTTTCATAATTTGCAATTTTTTTAGATGATTCATTTGAAAAAGTTGAATGTGTTAAACTTTGAATATAAAAATCAATATTTTTAAATTTAATATTTATTTTTTTTAATAATTTTTCTGTGTTCATAAAAAATAAAAAAATATAAAATAAATTTTATTAAAGAAATTAAAAATTATTTTTTAATTTCTTTAATTCTTGCATTTTTACCAAAAAGTTTACGTAAATAATAAATTTTTGAACGTCTAACTTTTCCTTTTTTAATAATTTTTAAATTTTTTAAAAATGGTGAATTAAAAAAGAAAGATTTTTCAATTGAAATATTAGATGATGTTTTTCTAACTATAAAATTTCTACTATTTAAAACACCTTTAATTGAAAGTACTACACCTTCAAAAGATTGAATACGATCTTTTTTACCTTCTGTAATTAATCATGATACTCTAACTGTATCACCTACATTAAATTTTGGAAACTTATCTTTATCTATTTGTTGAAAATCAACTAATTTTTTTAATAATTTGTAATTCATAAAATGTTAAAAATATTTTACCCTAAAAATTATAATATTTATTAAAAATATAATTAAAAAATTTATAATAAATATACAAATGAAATTAAAAAAAATTAGAAATTTTTGTGTTATTTCTCACATTAATCATGGTAAATCTACACTTTCAGATCAATTTTTAAATATAACACAAAAATGAAGACATGATAAAAATAAACAATTAATGGATTCTATGGAATTAGAAAAGGAACGTGGAATAACAATAAAACTAAATACTGCACAAATAAATTATAAATATAATAATGAAATTTATAAGCTTAATTTAATTGATACACCAGGACATGTAGATTTTACATATGAAGTTTCTCGTTCTTTAAAAGCATGTGAAGGTGCCATTCTTTTAATTGATGCAGCCAAAGGGATACAAGCTCAAACAATTTCACATCTTAAAGTTGCAAAAAAATTAAATATGATAATTATTCCTGCAATAAATAAAATTGATTTAAAAACTGTTGCACTTGAAAAAATTGAAGTTGAAATAAAAAAAATATTAAATATAAATTCTGATCAAATAAGCTTAATTTCTGCTAAACAAAATATTGGTGTTGAAGATTTATTAAAACGTGTAATTAAAGAAATACCAGCACCAATTGGAGATAAAAATAAACCATTAAAAGCACTTATATTTGATGCATATTATGATAAATTTCAAGGTGCTACAATTTCAATAAGATTAATAGATGGATCTTTAAAGAAAAAAGAAAAAATAAAATTTATTAGTAACAATAAAATTTATGAAATTACAAATATTTGATTAAAAACACCAGAATTTACAGAAATTAATGAATTAAATGCTGGAGAAGTTGGTGTTATTCAAGGTAATATAAAAAATTTAGATGAAGTTAAAATCGGTGATACAGTAACAAGTGCAGTTAATGGAACAAATGAAGCATTACCTGGTTTTCAAAAATTAAAACCTGTAGTTTTTGCTAATTTTTTTACAAATGATAATCAAGATTACAAAGAACTTGAAAAGGCATTAAATAAAATAAGATTAAATGATTCTTCTTTTATTTTTAAAAAAACATCTACAACTGCATTTGGTAATGGATTTCATTGTGGTTTTTTAGGATTATTACATCTTGAAATAATTCAAGAAAGAATAATAAGAGAATACAATTTAAATGTAATAACAACAACACCAAGTGTTAAGTACAATTTTATAAATACAAAAAATATTAAATTAGAAAATAAAAATTTAAATCAAATCAAAGATTGAGAAAAAATAAAAGAAATAGAAGAACCTATTGCAAAAGTACAAATATTAACACCAATATTTTGTTTAGGAAATGTTATGGAATTAATAAAAATTAAAAGAGGTAAAAATGTTTTAGAAAAATTTATTTCAAATGAAGATATTTTAATATCTGTAAATATACCATTAGCAGAAATAATTATTGATTTTTTTGATAAATTAAAATCAATTTCACATGGTTATGCATCTTTTGATTATGAAATAACACATTATGAAAAAAATAAATTATCAAAATTAGAAATATTAATTAATTCAAAAATAGTTGAAGCTTTTTCAAGAATTGTTCCTAATGAAAATGCATATAAAATTGGAAAAGAAGTCTGTGAAAAACTAAAAAAATTAATTCCAAAAGAAAATTTTAAAATATCAATACAAGCTGCTATAAATGGTAAAATTATTGCAAGAGAAAATATTTCTGCATTAAGAAAAGCAGTTGCAGATAAATGTTATGGTGGAGATATTTCAAGAAAAAGAAAACTTTGAGATAAACAAAAAGAAGGTAAAAAAAGAATGAAAAAATTTGGAAATGTAACAATTCCGCAAAAGATTTTTCTAGAAATATTAAAAAATTAATTATCATGGAAACATTATCAATAATAGGTATAATTTTTATAATAGTGGGTTTAATATCCTTTATTTTGCTTTTAATTTTTTTTTATATTAAAAGAAAAATAAAGAAAGGAGAAAAAAAAGAAATAAATCATGGAAGAAATAAAACAAACAGAAAACTTAAAAACAAATAATTTAGAAAATAATGAAAAAGAAAACTCATATAAGAAAAATATGTTTATTGAAACGGTAAAAAAAGAAGTAAAAAAAGAAAAATTCAAATTAATTTTAATTTCAATAATAAGTTTCATTTTTTTTGCAATAACAATTGCACTTGGTTCTATTGCATCAGCAATTAGTTTAGAAAAATTAGAACAAACTAAATTACCAAATAATATATTTTTTCATTGATTACCACAAATTGGATTATCAATAATTTTTTTATGAATTTTAATAACAAGTTTATTATCACTTTATAAAATTAAACAAGAAGTAAAATATTTTTATTCTGATAATATTTTTTCATTTGATAGAATACCAAATTTTATAAAAAGTTCTTTTAAAAGAGGTATTGCAATGAAGATATTTTTAAATTGATTTTCAATAGTTTCTTATATTGTAGCTACAATATTTTTATCATTAATAATTTTGATAAATGAAACACAAGAAATTGATTTTTTTAATATAACAACATTAGTTATAAAAACAACAGAAACTCAAAAAAATAACTTATATTGAAGTATGATTATAACAATAATATATATCATTTCAATAATTATTTTACATATGATTTTTTATATTTTACTTACAAAAAAGAACACAAATTTAAATATATTTTTTGATTTAGAAAATAAAATTGATCAAAATCAAATAAAAATATATAAAAGAAATGTTAATATATTTTGTGCTATATTCTTTTTATTTCCATTAATAATTCTTTTTATTGTTTGATGAATAAAAAAAAGAAAAAAAAATTAAAAATAATTTAAAATAATTTCTTTAATTTTATTTAATTTAAAATTTTTGATTAAACCTTTAAATTTTTTATTTTTAAAATTACCAGAAAAATTTTCATTAAAATTATTTTTAAAATTTTGTTCTCAATTTAAATTTTTATTTGTTTTATCAATAAAAATTATCTTAAAAAAATCTGGTTTTAATTCATCTAATAAACAAACAAAATCATATTCTTTTTTCTTTAAATAATCAAATAAAATAATTAAAAAATCATATCTTTCTTTTAAATTAATAGAAATTTTATGAATTAATATTTTAAAATTATTCTTTAAAATAATATCATTTTTATTCAATTTATATTTATTTATATTGTTTTTAATTTCATTTAATCTTTTATTTTTAACATTTTCATTAATTAAATTTTTAAAATTTTCAAATATTTCTTTATAACCAATAAATGTATTAGGAATTTTTTTTAATTTTTTTATTTCTTTATTAATATTTAAATCATTTAAATAATTAATTTTATTTTTTAATTCTTTTAATAAATTATTTAAATTATTTAAATAATTTATACTTAATTTTTTAACTTGATTATATGTAGTTATTGCATATATTCTGTAAATATTTTTACTTATTGTTTTAAAATCAATAATTCTAAAAGATTCAATTTCTGAAGTATTTAAAACATGTGTTCCACCACATAACTCAATAGAAAAATCATCAAATTTAACAACTCTAACTTTTGATTTATCATAAAAATCTTCAAAAAAAGACAAAGCACCCATATTTTTAGATTCTTCTAAAGAAGTAAAAATTATTTCTGATTTTATTTTTTTTTCAATAATTTTATTAATTAATTGTTCAATTTTAATAATTTGATTTTTAAATATTTTTTTATCTGAATAAAAATCTAATCTTAAATATTTTTCATTGTTAAAAGAACCATTTTGTTTTATTTGATCTGAAATTTGACTTCTTAATAAAGAATGTAATAAATGAGTTGAAGAATGATTTTTTCTTGTTAAATCACGTTTTATTTTATCTATTTTTAAAATAACCTCATCACCTACTTTAATTTTATTATTTAGCTTTACTTTATGTAAAATTTGATTTCTATTATTAAATTGAACATTAATAACTTGACTTTTTACACCATTTAAAATAATGTTGCCAGTATCAAAATCTTGACCACCTTTTTCAGCATAAAATGGAGTTTCTTCAAAAATAACTCATGGTATATTATTTGAAAAATTTATACTTTTTTTATTTTCAAATATACCTAAAATTTTTGTTTTTAATTCATATTTATTTTCAAAAAATTTTGTAGGTCCTTTACCATTTAAAAATAAAGTTTTTCATTCTTTTTGAAAACTTCATTCTTTTTTATTTGAAATTTTTTGATGTTCAGCTCAAAATTTATTAAAAGTTTTAATATCTAATTTAATATTTTGGTTATTTGAAATATTTTTAATAATTTCTAATGGAATTCCATATGATGAAACTAAATTAAAAATTGTTTTTCCATCAATATAACTATTTTTTAATTTTAATAATTCTTTTATTTTTTTATTTTTTAATAATTTAAAAAATATTTCTTCTTCATTTTTTATTAATTTTAATATTTCTTTTTCATTTATTTTTAATTCAGGATAAATTTTGCTATATTTTTCAACTACTTTTTCACAAATTTTATAAATATTTGGTTCATAAATTTTTAAAAAATAAAATTGTAAACAAGCATTTCGAATTATTCTTCTTAAAATGTAACCTTTTTTATTTTTAAAATTTATTTCTTTTTTTTCTATTAATAAATCAGAAATCAAAAAAGTAATTGCACGACTATGGTCAAGTATTATCTTTATCTTAATATTTAAATCTTGATTATTTTTTGAAGATAAATTTATATCTTTATTTAAAATTTTTTTCATTAATTTTAATGAATTATCAAATAAATCAGTTTCAAATGGATTTTCTTTTTTTTGTAAAATTGTTAAAATTCTTTCTAATCCAGCACCAGTATCAATATTTTTATTTTCTAATAATTTATAATTTTGATTACCTGTATTTACAAATTGTGAAAAAACAACATTTCAAACTTCTAAGTACCTATCATTTTCAATATCATCTTTTATTAAATTAATACCTTTATTTTTTAAATCATATTTATTACCAAGGTCATAATAAAACTCTACATTAGGACCACATGGACCAACACCTAAATCCCAAAAATTTGTTTTTCTTCCCATTGGAATTAAATGTTTTTCATTAATATTATTTAATTTTTTTAATATATTAAAAGCTTTTAAATCTTCATTAAAATATGTAATAAAAATTTTTTTTGCATTTAAATTCAATAATTTTTCATCTGTTAAAAATTCTCAAGCTCATTCTAATGATTCTTTTTTAAAATAATCACCTATTGAAAAATTACCTAACATTTCAAAAAATGTTAAATGTCTATTTGTTATTCCAATTTTTGAAATATCTTTTGTTCTTAATGATTTTTGTATATTTACTATTCTTTTATTACTTGGTTTTTTAATACCTAAAAAATAATCTTTTAATCCAGCAACACCTGAATTAACTCATAAAAGTGATTCATCTTTACTAATTAAAGATACTGATTTTTTAAATTCGTGATTTTTGTTTGTTCAAAATTTAATTCACAATTTTCTAAGTTGAAAGTAAGTTAAATTTTTCATTCTTTTTTATATACAACACTTAATATTGTTTTTATAATGATTATTGCTGGTAATGCAAAAATCATTGAAAAAACACCAAATAAAACACCAAAAAAAACTAATGCCATAATTATTGTAACTGGTCCAATTTTTAATTGTTGTGAATAAACTAGTGGTGCAACTAATAAAGATTGACCAACTTGTATTAATACAGTACCACCAACAGCAACAATAAATGGCAATCAATTAACAAATAATGAAACATCTGTAATAATTGCATGTGAAATTCCAAGACCAACTATTGGTATAACTCCAACTCATGGTCCAATATATGGTATTAAATTGAATAATGACATAATCAATGTTAATGCAAAAACAGAATCAAGAAACCCACTATCCCGTCAAATAATACCAGTTAAAAATATAAAAAAACCTGTACCTAAAAAAATATAAGTTTGTTCTATAAAAACACCTTTAGATCAAGATTTTAAATTTTTTGTAAGTTCAAATTTTAATTTTTCTTTTACATCTTTTTCTTGTTGTTTTGTAAAAAAATTTCAAATTTTTGAATAAAATGATTGTCCTTTACCCATTGAAAAAGCAGCAATAAATAATGAAAAAACTATTATATAAATTATCATAAACAAAATATTAAGATTACTTCATAAATAATCAATATAACCTTTATTTGAAAGTTTATAAAAAAATGAAATTAATTTAATTGATATACCTTTAAAATATTGAGAAGTTGAAAACATTTTTATTAACAAAACAAAAATACCAGATAATTCTGAATTTTTAAAAGATGTTGTCACTTCATTTTTTTTAATAACTTTATATGAAAAATTCCATTGATCATTTTCAGAAATTAAATCTAATTTTTCTAAATTAGTTGATGTAATTTCTTTGTTTTTAATACCTTCAAAAAACTCTTTTACTTCTATATTTGAAGGTGTTTTTTCTATTAAAAAATCATATAAACTTTGTAATTGGTATAAAAATAAAATAATGATACCAACTAAAAATATAACAATTAAAAAAGAAATAAATATATATGAAATAATTTGACTTGTTTTTTCAGAAAAATATTTTTTTAAAAAAAGTACAAATGGCTTACTTATATATGAAAAAGCAAAACCAAAAAATAATGGTAATGATGTAATTAAAAGCAAAATTAATTGATTAGAAATTTGTCTAAAAATCAAAAAACCAATAATTAATATTACTAAAAAAAAAGAAATTCTAAATCATCTAAAACTAAAAATTTTAGAAATAAAAAAATCTTTTGAATTTTTATTTTCATTATTATTAACAGGAATTGAATTTTTCATATATATTTCAATTTAAAATTTATTTAATTGATTTTTCTTTGTGTAACATAATTTTTTTGCAATTTTTACAAAATTTATTCATCTCTAATTTTCCAGTACTTGTTTTTTTGTTTTTAGTTGAAAAATAATTTCGAGTTTTACATTCTGTACATGCAAATGATATTTTTATTCTCATACTTTTTTATTCCTTATTTTTGAAATTTTTGCATTGCATTAACAACTGAATTTATTTGTGATTCTGATGGTTTTCTTCCCATTTGCATATACATTGCACGAATCATATTTTTATTAATTGGAGGATTCTCCATTAATTGTTTTGTAAATACTTTCTTAGCAATTAAAAAACCAATAACAATACCTATAAGTATAGTTACAACTGGTAACACTGCTACTAAAACAATTGCTTCTGTTGGTCACATATTTTTTTTATCTTTTATTCCTTTCAATTTTAAATTTAATGGTGCAGAAAAAGGGACTTGAACCCTTACATCACAAATGATACTAGCTCCTAAGGCTAGCGCGTCTACCAAATTCCGCCATTTCTGCTTTATTGATTATTATTAATAATTATTTTATAATTTTTTATTTGCTTTTTCTATTTTTTTCTTGGAGATTTAGAAAATAAACAGTTAAAATTCAATGTTTTTGGAAAAGCAATCACATCTCTTATACTATTTGCATTAACTAAAATCATAATAATTCTGTCTATTCCAATTGCAATTCCAGCATGTGGTGGATAACCATATTTCATTGATTCAAGAAAAAATCCAAATTCTTTTTCAATTTGTTTTTCATCCATACCTAATATTTTAAATACTTTTCTTTGCATATTTTCTTTAAAAATACGTTCAGAACCACTACCTAATTCAATACCATTTACAACTAAATCATAACCATTTGATTTACATTTTTTTCAATCTTTTTCAAATTCTTCTTCATTTTTTGGTAAAGTAAATGGATGATGTGAAGAAACATATTTGTTTTTTAATTCTGAAAATTCAAACATAAATGGATTGGTTATTCAACAAAATTTAAATTCATTTTTATTTTTTAAATTTAAAAAATCTGCCAAAATATTTCTAACTTGAGAAAGAACAACATTTGATAATTGTTTTTTAGAAACAAAAGCAATTAATGATTTATTTTTATTTTTAATGTTTTCTATTTCTTCTAAATCAAAATTTGTACTTAGACTTTTACAATTAATCATTAATTTTTTTTCTGTTATTTTTGAAATTTCAAACTTTAAAAAATTAAATTGTTCTTTATTTATATCACCATCAAACCATATTCCTCTTGCAACTTCATTAGAATTTACTTTTATGAATTTTAATTCTTCTATTTTTAAATCAAATCTTAAATCTGGTTTATCAGTTCCATATTTTTCAATTGAATATTCATAATCAATTCTTTTAAATTTATAATTAATTTGAAATCCCATTCTTTTTCAAAGATCTTTAATCATTTCTTCAATTAAGTTTAAAATTTTCTCTTGTTTTGCAAAACAAATCTCTAAATCTAATTGAGTAAACTCTGGTTGTCTATCATTTCTTAAATTTTCATCTCTAAAACATCTAGCTATTTGATAATAAGAATCAAAACCAGCATTCATTAATGTTTGTTTATAAATTTGTGGTGATTGTGGTAATGCAAAATAATAATTTTTTTTATTATTAATTTTAACTAAAAAACTATCAGCACCTTCAATTGTTGGAAAAGATAAAATTGGAGTTTCTATTTCTAATATTTCTTTTGTATTTAAAAAATTTCTAATAAATTTTAAAACATTTGATCTTATTATTAAATTTTTTTTTAAATTTGATCTTCTTAAATCTAAATATCTATATTTTAAACGAATTTTTTCAAGGCCATCAGTTTCATCTTTTATCATAAATGGAGTTATTTTTGAATTATTTATAATTTTAAGTTTTGTAATTAATATTTCAAAAATTCCTGTTAAAATCTTCTTATTTGGTTTATTTCTTAAATTTAATGTTCCTTCTATTTCAATTAATGTTTCTTTTGAAAGATGTAAAATATTTTCAAAAATTTTTGAATCCTCTTTTACAATAATTTGTACAATATCAAATGTATCTCTAAGATCCAAAAAACAAATAGAACCCATTTTTCTAATATTTTGAATTCAACCAATCATTTTTATTTTTTTATTTAAAAACTTATTTGATAAATTTATTGATTTTATATACATAATTTAATTATTTTTTAAAATTTCTATTACTCCATCTAAAGAAGATATAAATTGAATTTTTTCTTCTTTATTTTTATAAATTTTTTTTATTAATACTTTTTTTTCTTTTATATATTCATTTCCAAAAAAAATCATTCATTTAATATTTTTTTTTAAATTTTTTTCTAATGATTTTAAAAATGAAATTGGTTTTAAATCATTTATTACAAAATATTTTGCATTGATTAATTCATTTTGTAATTTTAATGCATTATATTTAAATTCTTCTTTTAAAAAAGAAATAGAAATCTTTTGTTTATTAAAAAAATTATTTTTTTCAAAAAATGAAATTTTATCTAATGCAATCAAAAATCTTTCTATACCTATTGCAAAACCAATACCTTTTTCATTTTCTTTGAATTTATCACTAAATGCATTTAATAAATATTCACCACCAGCTAAAATTACATTTTTGGCTCATTTTTCATTTGAATTAAATAATAATTCAAAAATTATTCCATCATAATAATCAAGTCCTCTTGTTAAATTTTTATCTTCAATTATTTTTAAATTTTCAAAAATAATTGATAAATCTTTTTTTATTTTTTTGTATCTTTTTTTATCATTTAATGTTAAAAAATCAATTAAATTAATTTTTTTAGATAAATTTTTTCCATCAATTTTACAATCTAAAATACGAAATACATTATTTTGTTTTTTTCTTTCTAAACAAAAATTACATAATTTAAATTCATCAGAAATACTAGAAAAAAAACTTCTAACATTTTTCAATTGATTTAAAGAAATGTAATTTATTTTTAATGTTACAAATTTTTTTATTTCAAAAAATTCTAATATTAAATTTAAAAATGAAAAAATTTTTAAATAATTATTATCATCAGTTAAAATTTGTTCTAATGATCATTGATAAAATTCTCTATATCTACCTTTTTGAGGATTTTCATATCTAAAACAATTTCCTGAAGTAAAAACATTAAATGGTTTTTTTGGATTTAATAATTTTGATTCCAAAACTGCACGTATAACATTTGATGTTAATTCTGGACGAAGAACGATATTTTTATTATTTTTATCTTTTGATTTTATTGAAAAAAATTCTTTTTGTACTATATCACTTGTATTTCCTAATGTTTTTGAAAAAACATCTTCTAATTCAACAGTTGGAAGTATTAAAGAATTAAAATTAGATTTTATTGCAAAATCATTTAAAAAATTTATTATTATTTGATTTTTATTTACATCTAAATTTCATTTATCTAAAAAACCTTTTAATTTTTTAATCATTTATACCTTTCATTGTTTCTTCTTTTCCATATTTAAAAACAACATTTGAAATTTGTTTTTTAAACTTTAAAATAATTTTATATTCTAACTTAACAAACAAAAAATAAAGTATTTTTTGTAAAAAATAAAATATTGGAATAACAAATATAATTATTATAAAAAAACCAATAAATTGAATATTTCTTAAATCAAATAACAATAAAATACTTAAAATTAAAAATGAAAAAAGAATTATTTTATATTTATTTGTTTCTCTTTTTAAATTTAAAAAAAATAAATTTTTTAAAATATTTTCATTTAATGAATCTATTAAACTTATTTTTCTTTCACAAAAATTTAAAAAATTTTCAACTAATAAAAAATCTAATAAAAAAACAAAATATATCATTGGTACATTTATATTTTTTATTGTATCTATAATTTTTTCATTATTAAATGAAAAATAAAAAATTAAAGAAAACAAAACAAGTTTAATTGGAAATAAAAATGTATATATTAAAAAACCTTTAATTTTATATCTAATCATTAAATAAATCATTGGAATTAACATTGTAAAAGATAAATTTTTTAACATTTCTAAAAAAATATCTTTAAATTCATTATTATTATTTAATTTTGTAAAAATTTTATTTGTTAAAGTACTAAACAAACTTACAATTACAATTGATGAAATTATTAATAAAAAATTAAAAATTAAATTCAATATAATTATTTTTTTATTTAAATTATATTTATTTAAAATTTTATTATTTAAAATTAAAAAATTTATCTTTTGAAAATTATTTTTAACAAAAAAATCAAATTGAAAAAACAAAAATGTAATTAATAAAAGAAATAAAATAAATTGAATAATAAATGAATTTAAAACAATAAATAACAAAGAAAGAAAATGTTTATCTAAATTATCATATTTTACAATAAATGTTGGAGTTAATATAAATAAAATAATTAATAAATAATACTTCAATTTATAAAATTCTTTAATAAAAAAAAATTTAAAAAACTTTATAATTCCGATTTCATTATTTAAAGAATATTTTTTATAAAATTTAAAAAATAAAATATGCATATAAATTCCTAAATAAAAAAAAGAAAAAACAGAAATAAAATAAAATAATTTATTTTCTAAAACGTATAAAAATTGCCATTCTAATTTATAAAAAGGAAAACAAATATTTAAAGATAAAAATAAAAAATTAATTAAATATATAAAAAAACCAAAAAATTTAAATCTTTTTATTAAATAAAAAAAAGTAAATATTAAAAATACTAAAATTATTGAAAATTGTGAAATATTATATTTGTTAATAATATTTTTTTCATTTACAATTTTAAGAAAACTTATGTCAAAATTAATAAAAAAAGTTCCTATTAACAAAATAATAAAAAAACTAATTAAATATAAAACTATTGGAAACTTTCCATTTATTCCAAATAAATTATTCAATCTAATATTAAATTTCATTTTCTAAATCATCAAAAATTTCTTTACATTCTTGAATTTCTAATATTTTATTTTTTATTTTAATATATTCATCTTTTAATTCATTAGAAATTATTTTTCTTACAAACGGAACAAGAATTTCTAATGAATCTAAAATTTCTATATTTTTACTTAATAAATTATTTTTTAACTTTTTAATTTCTGAAGAATTATTAAAAATAAAAATTATTTTTTCATTTTTTTCTTCTATATTTTCTACATCAACATCTTCTAATAAATCAAATAATTTTTCTTCTGAAATTTTATTTATTATAATTTTATATTTTGTTTCAAATAAATGTTTTATAGAACTACTTTTTAAAATATTAATTTTAGATTTTTTTGTTACTTCTTTAATATTATTTAAGCTTCTTAAAAAATTATCAGTAAAAACTTTTATAAACAAATTTATTTTTTGTGCAAATTTTGCTTCACATCAAAAAATATTTTTATTTTCAATTGAAGAACTTTTTTTTAATGCTCTTTGAATAACATCTTTTGGTAGGTTTTCCTTCCTTGCTAATTCTAAAAGTTTTTTTAATTCAGAATTTGTATTTGGATTTGGATTAAAGTTAGCAACTTTTTGAATTTCATTAACTAATTTTTGAAACTTTTTACTTTTTTGACTATCTTGTCTTTCTTTACGATGTTTTATGTTTGCTCACTTAGAGTGTCCTGCCATTTTTAAAACTCTTTGATTTTTAAATTATTTTTTTTTGTTTTCTAAAGAATTATTATTAATTAAAAATTCTTCAACTTTATTTTTTAAAAAATTATTATAAATTGCTGTTTTAGGATACACTTTTTTTAATTCATCAACTGATTTTTTTGTATATTGTGACAACATGTTGTAATAACTTTCAATCTCTTGTTCAGTTACATCTATATTTTCAATTTTAGCAATTTCAAAAATTACTAATAATTCTTTAATTGTATTTTCAGTTTTTATTTTTAACTCTTTTTCAAAATCTTTTAAAGACATTTTTTTATTTTTCAAAAAATCTTCTAATTTAATATTTTTTCTTTTTAAATAATCAATTTGATTTTCTTTTAAATATTTAAATTCACGTTCAAAATATGTTTTTGGAAGATCAATTTTTGAATTTTTTAAAATTTCTTCATTTATTTTTGAAATTAAAATAGGTCTATTATTTTGTTTTTGTATACTAATTAATTCATCTGAAACTTTTTGTCTTAATTCTTCTTCAGATTTTAAATTTAACTTATCAATTAATTCTTCTTTAGATAATTTAACCTTTTCATGAACTTTATTTAAAATAATTTTAAATATTACTTCTTTACCAGCAAATTCAGGTGCATAATCTTTTGGAAAATTTAATTTTAAATCTTTATTTTCATTTAATTTCATTCCAATTACACCATCTTCAAAACCTGGAATAAATGTATTACTTCCTAATTCAAGAGAATAATTTTTCATTGATGCTTTTTCATTTTTTTTTCCATCAATAAAACCTTCAAAATCAATATTTGCAAACATTCCTTTTTTAGCAATATTTCCTTTTTCAACTAATTTTGAAAATTTTTCTTTTTTTTGTTCTATTAAATCATCTATTTCATTTTCTGAAATTTTTTTATTTTTAATTGAAATATTAAAATTTTTATATTTTGTTAATTCAATTGTTGGTAATTTTTCAAATTCAAATTCAACTTCAAATTCAGAAAATGATATTTTTTTAGTACTTCTTCCAACAAGACGATAAATTTCTAATTCTTTTTCTTTTTTTAATTGATTAAATATTTTTTGAATACCTTTTTCTTCAGCTTGAGAAAGAATATCAGATGTTGAAACATATCTTTCAACAAGTTCTTTTGGTACATTACCAGAACGAAAACCTTTTATTTTTAATTTTTTACCAATAGATTCTTTAACACTATCAATAACACTATTTCATTCTTCAAAAGAAAATGAAACTATATTTTTAATAATTTCATCATTTTTTATTTTTTCAAATTTTACAGTAAACATTAATTAACTCAATTCTTTCTTTTTTATTTTTAAATATTAAAAAAATGGAGCCCACGGAGGGAATCGAACCCCCGACCCAAAGATTAGAAAACTTTTGCTCTAAACCACTGAGCTACGCAGGCAATTCTTAAATACCCATATTATTTCAATAAATTTTAAAAATTTATTGAAGTGGTACCCGGAGCCGGACTTGAACCGGCACGAACCAAAGTTCGGCAGATCTTAAGTCTGCTGTGTCTACCAATTCCACCACCCAGGCATAAAAGAATGGTGTCCCATAGAGGGCTCGAACCTCTGACACCCTGGTTAAAAGCCAGGTGCTCTACCAACTGAGCTAATAGGACTTTTTTTTTTTTTTTTTTGGCTGGGGCAGACAGATTCGAACTATCGTATCATGGGACCAAAACCCATTGCCTTTCCACTTGGCTATGCCCCATTATTTTTAAAAACCAAAAACACTTAAAAATTAAATGTATATTTTTATTATATTTAAAAATATTTTTAAATAATAAAATTTTTTTAAAAATGGTGGAAGCGAGAGGATTCGAACCTCTGAACCCGAAGGAGCTGATTTACAGTCAGCCGTGTTTAGCCAGACTTCACTACGCTTCCAATGGTGCTGACTATAAGATTTGAACTTACAACCTTTCGCTTACAAGGCGAGTGCTCTACCATTGAGCTAAGTCAGCAATGGTAGAGTGTAACAGATTCGAACTGTTGACCTCCTGTTTGTAAGACAGGCGTTCTCCCAACTGAACTAACACTCTAAAACTTATTAATAATTATTTTATCAATTTTTATAAATCTTTAATAAATAAATTTAATATTTTTTAAAAATTTTATTTGTTTTCTTAAAAAAAATAAATTTTTGTAAAACAAAAGTTATAAATAATACAAAAAACAAAAATAATAAAAAATACCAAAAAAATTCTAAATAATCAAAAATAATTAAAAATATACCTGTTTTAACTGAAAAAATATTTGATAATAATTCAAAAATAAAATATCCAAATAAAATTGCAAATATTGTTGATAACAATAGAAAAATAGAAAAATTTAATAAATATTTTATATTTCATTTTCAATTTGGAAATCCAATTGTTGAAATATTTAAAAATAATTTTTTATCATTATTAATTTGTCAAATAATAATTGAAACAATAATTAAAAATAAAATCAATGAAAAAACTAAAATAATAAATAAAAAATATCACTCATAAATTTTAAAATGTTTAGACTTAATTTCTGATAACAAACTTAAAGATGAAGATTCAGCATTAATAATTTCAACATTTTTAAAATCTTTTAAATCTGTTTTTGTTGGATCTATATCTATAATAAGATTTCTTTTTAAATAACTTTTTTCATTATTTGAAAAAATAAAATTATAAATACCTGAGTTTTCAGAATTAATTATTTCATTTTTGGATAAAAAACTGTAATTAACAACACTTATTGGTTGATTAAATTTAGAATATGGAATAAAACCTGCTACTGTAAATAATCACTCATTATTTTTTAAATTATTATTTTTTTCTTTTAATGATATTTTTTTATATAAAAATTTATCATTTACATAAAATCTTTTTATTACTTTATCACCAACTTTAAAACCAGAATTTTTATATGATTCAGGTAAAAGTATATATTCTTTTGATCCATCTTTTTCTAAATAAAATTCACCATTTTTATTAAACTTTATACCTTGTAAAATTAAGCTTTCTTTTAAACCATCAAAAAAATTAATTCAATTATTTTCTTTTGAAAAAAATAAAGTATATTTTAATGATGATGAATCTATAATTTCAGTTTTTTCTTTAAATGGATTTACTATTTCACTTTTTAATAATAAACTTGGTAAATCTGTTTTTTTATCATATGGTGCAACATTAACAAAAATTTTTTCTATTTTAAATGACTCTAATAATTTTCTTTGTTTTTCATCAGGAAAATCTTTAGATTTTATCATTACTGGTATTCCATCACCACACCTATCATTTCTAAAGGTGTTGCTTTTTAAACTATTAAAAATTTCATAAATACATTCAGCATGTAAATTATCATTTGATAAAATTTCAGAAATTGTCTTTTTAAAATCATTAATTTGAACAATATTTTGTGAAAATTCACTATTTTTTTCAACAAAATTAACTTTTTTTTCTATACTATTACCATTTTTTAAGTACAAACTATTTAATTTTGAAATACTTTTTATATTTTTTGGAAAAAAGTTTTTAGAATCAACAAAATTTGAAAAAGATATTTTAATAAAAAGAAAAAGAAAAAATAATAAAATTGAAAAAAAAGTTAAAAAAAATAAAAATATTTTTTTATTTATTTTATTAAAAAAAAGTAATGTACTAACTCCTATTTTTGAAAAAAATATTGGAAATCATTTTTTAATAAAAACAAAAATTGGTTCTATTTTTATATTTTTTAATGAATTTTTATTTTCAAAATATATTAAATTCTTTTTATAAAAATATATTTGATATATATATGATGTAAATGCAAAAAAAACAGGAAGAATTATTAAAAATGAAATAATAAAAAATGGATTAAAATATTCTTTTTTTAATCTAAAAAATGAACTATCAAAATTTCATTCATAAAAATAAACACTTAAAAATGTTCCAAAAAACAAACTTATAATTGATATACAAAATATTATAAAAAAACTTGTAAATGTATCAATTAAAATTATTTTTTTAAAATTTAATCCATTAAAAATTAAAGACTGTATTTGTTTTTTTCTTGAATATAATTCTTCTTTTTCAACAAATTTAATAAATAAAACTAAAATTATAATTAATAAAAATGAAAAAAATGTAATTATAAAAATATTAAATAAATTATTAATTTTAATTTTTAATCCACCATTAAAATCTTTATCAAATTTATGAATTGAAATATTTGAATTACTTCATTTTTTAGAAAAAAAACTTCTAATATTATCAATTATTTCTTTTTTTTGTGTTTCATTTGTAGATTTATAAAACTTAATATATATATTTTTTTGTTGTGTATGTTCTTTATTAAATTTCTTTAATAAAAATTCATATTGTTTTTTATTTACAAAAACTTTTGCAAAATTTTCAAAATAACCATTTTTATTAAATGATTCTAAATATATACTATTTTTTAATGTTTCTGTAAGATTTAATGAATAATCACTTATTCTTTCACCAATAAATTTTACTTTAAATTCTTTGTTACCAAGATCAAATTTATTACCAACTTTAAAATTTGGATTTAAATCTACAAATTTTGTATTTAAAATAACTTCATTATCTTTTAATTCTTCAATATTTATAACTTCATTATTTGATGAATTTACTAATTGATTAAATGTTTGTTGTTTTGAAAATCTTGTTATTAAATAATTTTTTTTGTTTTTAATATCAACTCAAAAAAAATATGGTGAATAATTATATTTAAATGTATTTTTATACTTTTTTAATCTAAATTCATTATCTATTAATTCATCTTCAACTTCTTTATTTTCTAATTTTAAACGTGGTAAATTAATTCTATAATCAAAAGCAACTGATTTATTTAAAAAATTATTATTTTTTATTTGAGATAAAATTTGAAATTGAAATAATGGAGCAAATAAACCAACTATTAAAAAAATTGAAATAGCAAAAATAAAAAAATTAATTTTTCTTTTTTTAATCAAGTTTTTTATTTTGTTTTTAAATATTAATCAAAAAAATTTCATTTTATTTATATAATTAGGATATATGAAAAATTGTATTTTTTGTAAAATTATCAATAAAGAAATTGAATCAAAAATTCTTTATGAAAATGATACATTAATTGTTATTTTAGATGTTTTTCCTTCTGATGTTGGTCATTGTTTAATTATAACTAAAAAACATAAAGAAAATATTTTAAAATTAAATAAAAATGAAATAAAAGAAATTGCATTAGTACAACAAAAAATAACAAATCTATTAAATTATAAATTAAAACCAAAAGGATTTAACTTTTTAAATAATTTTAATCCAATTGCTGGACAAATAATTGATCATTATCATTTACATATTATTCCAAAATATAAAAAAAATATAGGTTTTTCAGTTAAAGTTGAAAAATCTGATGAAAAAATTGACATTGAAAAAGTTTGAAAAACTATTAAAAATTAATTTTTTATATTTCTTTTATTTGGTTTAATAAAAAATTCTCTTCTTTTAAATTCTTTTTTAACACCTAATGATGCTCTTTTAAATCTTCTAACTAAAGAATTAATATTTTCATTTTCTTTTATTTTAATAATAATCATAGATAAAAAAATTTTATCATAAAAAATAAATATAAAAATTTATAATTTAAATAATATGTTAATTTTATCAATTGAAAGTAGTTGTGATGAAAGTAGTGTTGCAATTTTAAAAAACAATAAAGTAGTTAATTGTTTAACAATATCACAAATTGAAACATTCAAAAATTTTGGAGGTGTAATTCCTATAATTGCAAGTGATTTACATGTAAAAAATATTCCAATTTTAATAGAAAAAATAAAAAATAAAAATCCAATTGAATTTAAATTAATAGATGCAATTGCATATACTGAAAAACCTGGATTAATTGGTTGTTTAAATATTGGATATACATGTGCAAAATTTATTTCTGATTATAAAAAAATACCATTAATTCCTGTAAATCATTTACATGGACATATTTATGCATCAGAACTTAATGATAAACAAAAAATAGAATATCCAGCACTTGCAATTGTTATAAGTGGTGGACATACAAGTATTTTTTATCTTGAAAAAGAACTAAAATTTAAATTAATTTCAAAAACTTTAGATGATGCAGCAGGTGAAATGATAGATAAAGTTGCAAGAAAATTAAATTTGCAATATCCTGGTGGACCAAAAATTGAAAAACTTGCAAAAAATGGAAAACATAAATTTAAAATTCCTATTTATAATAAAAATGATGATTTAAATTTTTCATTTTCAGGTATTAAAACACATTGTATAAATTTAATTAATAATTCAAATTTTAATGAAAATGATAAAAAAAACTTTGCTTTTTCATTACAAGAAACAATTTTTGAAAATATAATTTTTAAGGTAAATAAAATAATTAATAAAAATTTTGTTAAAACAATAATTTTAAGCGGTGGTGTTGCAAGTAATGAAAGTTTACAAAAAAAATTTAAAGAAAATTTTAAAAAAATTAAAATTTTAATACCAGAAAAAAATATTGTACTGATAATGCAGCAATGATTGGAATTGTTGGTTATAAAATTTTTAAAAATAATAAAATATTATATAAATATGATTCAAAAAAATAATTTTAATAAAAAATCATTAACATTAAAAATAATAAAATATTTAATATTATTTTTAATTATTTTCTTTTTAGTAATAACAACCTTTAGATTATCAATAGTTGGTCAAACAATAGATAATTTTGTATTTCATTTACCATTTGGTATATTAAAATATTTCTTATATTTTTGTTTATTTTTTCAAATTATTTTTTATACTTTTAATAAAAAAATTTTCAAATTAAATAAAATAAATAAAAAATTAATTATAAAAATAACATGATGTATATTTAATATTTTTTGAATTACAGGTTTATTAACAACTATTTTTTTAAATATAAATAATAATATTTTAGCTTATAAAAATTACTCTTTTAATAAAATTTTTTCAAATTTTTGAAAAGA